TTTATCAGATTTTGTTTTTCCAGGCTGCTCAGTGACGGAGTGGGTAGTAATGCTGCTTTACAGCAAGAAGGTTCTGTCTTCAATTCCCGGCCCAATGTCTTTCTGCATGTGCGTGGATAATTGTTTGTCCTGTTTGTCTCTGTGTTGCCCTGCGATGGACTGGTGACCTGTCCAGGGTCGACCCCGCCTCCCGCCAGTAGACAGCTGGAGATAGGCACCAACAACCTTTGTGACCCCAGTGGGATAAGCATGACTGAAATGGTTGGATAGTTTTTCCACATTTGAGTAAGCTAAACACTTAAAGCCAAAATGTGACTATTACCAGAGAACAGTTCTGAGTGCTTTACCGCCATCCTGTTCAGGGTAAAAACAAAATGAAATAAAGAAACTTAGCAGAGTGAGTGATACTTAGTGCTGTAGAAATGTTTGAAAATGCAGGTAGGTACCGAAGTGGAGTTAAGGGTTTTATCCAAGAGGTGCACCTATCCATCAGCATGAGATACAGTTATAAAAAATGTTTCCTTTGGTTATCTATGACTAGTGATGAGCGTTAAATGCATTAAAGAACTCCCAATATTTCAGCCTATTGATAGTTAGATGCAATGGCTCAGAGGTTGAGCAATGGCGCGTGAGGCACAGTTAGAAGAGGCTTGTAGGGGTCAGGTGTCCTGCTAACCAGATGGCAGGTGAGTGTTGGTAGTAAGGAAATGCTAATTACCAGTGGAATAAATATTGCTTTGTTAGAAAGAAAAAAAGACACACAGGGTTTCATGTTGGTTTTGTATAATGGAAGAAAACTTGTGTAGCTTTATCAGTGATTCTTCACTTGGTTCTAAACAAAACTCTTCAGTAAATCCATCCTGCATTTATCCAGAGCCATTAGCTCAGAATCAGAAGCACTTTAATGATCCCAGGGGGAAATTATCTTTGTTCCACGCTCCAGGTATACAAACAAAATATTACAAACATTCATCATCTAAAAGAACTAAAATACCATACAAAGAAATACAATACAACTTTCCTTATATACTGTATATGAATAAAAACCAATGTTTTTAATTATATCTAAAGATCAAATTGAACAAATGTTTCATATTTCAACGTAGATTCCATTTTATTTGTCCAACTCTATGATTCCTATTGCACTGGAAAAAATCGAGCTCTAGATAAGTCAGTTTTTCTTAAAATAAATGCATTTGTTCTTGAATTGAGGGGATAAAAGAGACATTTTGCCAATGGAACAAGACAATTTGCTGTTAAAATAAGAAAACTCAATTG